GAGAAGTCTTAAAGGGACCTCAACTTACAGCGACACAGTCCACAGGCTAGGCGTCCCACAGGCAGTGTAGCCTTTAAATTGAGGCACAGAACAAGCAAATAAGGGGAGGAGCCCTGTTGGTGTTGCAGTAGGCTGCTAACTCCACAGTCAGCAGTAGTTTGAAACAACGAGCCTCTCATCGGGAGAAAGACGGCGGAGCTTTCTACTCCAACAAGGAGTTAGTCTCAACTCACAGGGGCAGTTCCACCCTGTCCCAGAGGGTCGTTGTGAGTTGGCATCCACTTGAAGGCAGTGAGTTTTATGTACATTGTAGGGATCCCTAGTGGCCTGGTGGAGTAGGCATCGGGTTGCAAGGGCAGCAGTTTCAAACCAGCAGCTCCTCCAGGGGTGGAAGATGAGGAGGTCCGCTTATGGAAGTAAAGGATTTGCAGTCTGGGAACCCTGCAGAGCATCGCTGTGAGTCGGAATCAACTCAATGGCAATGCTGTTTGCTTTCCTTTAAATGAACATCATAGATCGGAACTTCTACCCTTGGCCTGCCGTAAGCTTCCAGGTATTCAGATATGCAGCATTTTCTTTGTTTAATAGTCTCTAAGAGCTCTTATACAACTCGCTTAGGTCCATTTTACTGAGCTATTTGTGATACGTCAGTTATGTATGTAACTAGCATGTCTGATATTCACATGTCTGGTATAGTTAGAACAATCAGGGGATTTATTTCAAAGTCTGTGACTTGAGTTCATGGGAAAGGGATAAGAACTAATTTTGACAAGCTTTGGTAACGTCATGATTTCAGACCTGTTCCAATGCTGGTAGAAAACCAGATGGCAAACATCTTGAACATTTCAAAGAGAGCCCTAGTTTGGTTTTAAAATTGGATCTGTTTATAATCGGTAGGCAGCATGGAAAATGGCAATCTTGTTCTGACCAAACATCAAAAAAAGTCTGCTTTGATAATGAAGTTGGAAGAGAACAGAAGTTCTGTCTCGGAACTCAGAGCTTTGACATTGACATCTTTGTTAACATGATTTAGGAAAAAGTATTCTGACTCTGCTTTGGAGGTTTGAATGAGTGCAAGTGAATTTTTCGACACTTAATACCTGCTCTCTGGGAAATGAAGAGAAATTTGAAGCTTTCCCAAGGGAAAACCCATCTTCATTAAAACAATAACAACAACAACATCAACAAAAAACTCCAGGCCCATAGCCTCTCAGAAAGAGCACTCTCAAAAATTCAGTGAATTGCCCCCTTTTGGGGCCATCGCTGAAGGAGTAGCGGCCAAAATGAAGTTCAATCCCTTCGTGACTTCGGACCGGAGCAAAAACCGGAAGAGGCATTTCAATGCGCCCTCCCACGTCCGCAGGAA